GGCTACGATGTTACAGGGGTTATGACTTTTATTTGCTCTATCCTGATGGATTCTGCAAATAATCTCTAGAAAAAGAGACAGGAGAAGAAAATCTTAAGCTGTGTACACATGGATTGTATATTTTTCATTCAGACAGAATACACTGATCAGGGCTGCAGCTGCTGATCGAATGAAAATTTTCCAGCAGGTCCATTCGTAAGAAGCCAAGAGAGTGAAGTTTCCTACTGCATTTTAAACCTTAATGGATATTATCTCATACCTGTAACATTTTTTATTGTTAATGGAGCTGTGTCTTTAGAAAGACTTCTGTATTATTTCAGGACCCAAATAACCCTTCCCAAAAGTACTCTGTACAAACTCTCCCACAATAGTACCCCCAACCTTTGTAATGAGCATTGAATGTCCAATCTACCAATTGAGCCAATATTGCATTATGATATATCTTTGAATCTGGGAGTGCCACCACTCCATTTAGTTTAAGCTTAGTAAGTACTTTTTGGGAAATATGAAGACCACAATGCCTCCATACACACCTCATCAACAGTGACCCAAAAGATCTTTAAAATATGCCCCCCGGTATACATATAGAAAGTGCTTGAAATACATACAAAGCTTTGGGTGCAATAAAGCCTTCATTACAAGGGCCATATCTGTGTGGATGAGTTGGTGTCCCTTGTTGAGTAAGATACTGCTGTTGAGGCCTATATCTGGGATCTGCACTCCAAGCCAGTAAAGTCTGAAAACAGGATAACTTTAACCTCAGGTAAGACTGTTCTTTTTTTACAGATGGGTAAACACGCTCTTAAGGAGGGGAGTGACACATCCATGGGAACCAGATTTGGTTTGACTCCTAGCCCAAAAGGAATCTTGAGACAAACATGGCAAATTTAAGTGCTGGCTGCCAGTTGCCCCATATTACATGAGCCTATGAAATGTGACCTGGGGAGTTACTATTTCTTAAGCCTGTCCTTGCAGCTCATCTGGCAACTGAGACTGGTAGGCATATATGTCCTGTTACAATAGAAGGACATCCAGTATTATGAGACTCTGGAAGTCTCATCACATTGATTCATGCCAGTCTGAAGGTCCCTGGCAAGCTTGACTCATACTTAAGTGGTTGTAAAGGCTGTTTTTTAATTAAGATAAAAAAAAGAGGTTATACTTGACTATTCTGTGTAATGGTAGGTGCAGAAAATGTTAGTCATTGGGGTCATATAACGAGTGAACAAGTCTAATAGTGTTCATCCGTAAGCTGGGTGGTAGCCTATTTTTCTTAAACAACTTCAGGAAATGGAATGAAATTTCAAAATTTGATGCTTATACCATGCCTCAGGTTGATAAAAAGGTTGAGTCTCATCAGGCATATTGCCACCCTCGATCTTACTAAAGGTTATTGACAGGTTCCCTTTACAGCTAGGGCAAAGAAAAAGACCACTTTTGTCACCCTAGATGGTCGGTTCCAATTTGTGATGAGGCAGAGAGAGCCTCCCAAGAACCAATATTGTGTAAAGGATCAGTGTGAACCACCCCCAACTTTAGTCAGGAATTTCTTGTACTAAAAGATGCCCCTGATGTTGGCCTGGGATCAGTCATGTCCCAAGAAACTAACCCCTGCAGAGAGGAACCATTCATGGTGGAAATACAATGTCTAGTCATAAAGTGGGAGCTAGTTTCATTGAGTTTACCTTTTGGTTGCAATATCATCTAATTCCAGCATTCTCCAGTGCAGTGGAAGGCTCACAACAAAGGGAGCAGTGCAAGGACCATAAGATAGTTTCTGGCTCTGCAAAGCTTAAAGACTTATGTGTAAAACAGGCCAGGGACCCAGCAAAGGGAATGCTAATGGACTATCATACATTCACTGTATGTTGGCAAAATGTGCTACTTCCCACAGGTCTGAGCAAAGGGGGCGGGCATGTGAGTCATTAGCTGGCAAGACTGGAGATGGTGTGTATGTGTCACATAGGTTTCTCACATACACATGGTGGAGGGCTTCAGATTTTATGACTGTTGTTTTCTGGATCTCGGATACCAGAGGCTTTGTAGATATTTAGATGGGATAAAGCCTCATTCCTAAGTCCACCTGGTGGACTTGGTAGCCAGATTTTAATATTAGTCTCAGTTGTCTACAGGCCTTTTTATATGCGAGCTGACTGATGCTCAAGGCTCTCTCCCTCTCTCCTGCTTTTTTGTGGGAACTTGCTGCTGGATGAAAAAACTGTGCTGACAGAAGACTAAAAAAGGTGAAAGTGCTGCCAGTTTTTTTGGGGAACCCATTAGGGACCACCCTGTTAGTCAGGAGCGGACTTGAGGTTAGTTATTGGCTTGGATGCACACATATTTTTTTATTTTATGCTATGACTTGCTGTACAAAGCCAATGAATTGAAAATTGTGTTTGTTGCTTTGCTGTAAATTAGAGGACAAATCTACTTGGACTGCTGTTCAGTGTCCCTGTCTCGTCCATGGTTTACCACTGCTAAAACCAGTTGAGCCTGTCCTCCTTATGATAAATAATTAAGTATTACAAAGCATGTTGAACAAAATTACAAATCCTCAGACAAGTAAAATAGCACATATAAATGTATTACCACTGTGTGTTTACAGTAGCTGTATACCAGGCATTTAGGTTTAAAACTTTATAATTATTGAATATACTGTAGTGCATGGTCCAGTTTATTATACTGTGATGTAACACTTTACTTTGACAAAACTGTTTTGAGCTGTCTTTAATATTAGGAGGGGGATGAGAAGGGATGGCAAAATAAACAGGAGACTGTGTTATATAGCAGGAAGGGAATTCAAGAATAATTGAGAGGAAGAGCTTTGTAAACAATGTGGGATAGAAACAAAATGTATTTGTACTGAATGTACATTCGACAGCAGTAAAAGCTGTAGGATTATTTGATAGTGTTTTCTTCGGTTTGTAATGTAACCCACCTTTTTGCTGATAGGTACCTATCATTTTATAAATATATAAACCAATGTTTCTATTTTTCACATGCTTCAGTAAAAAGCTATTACAGACTTAAAAGTTTGCAAAAGACCACTACAAGCCACATATTTTCTGAAAGCAGATGACCTATAGAATTAAAGAATGGTATTATTGATATAGTATACCCATTTTATAGTATTGAAAATAATAAAGCATTCCTTTAAAAACAATAAAACATGATTCCTCTAATATTGTTCTGATTTATACAGACATACCTATATTGTACCTAGTGTGCACATATAATACATTAGTAATTTTATGTATGACTATGGATCCTTATTGTGTATATGTTCTACATATATGTTTTTTTTTTTATTTTATTACATTTTGCCAATTATTTTCTCTATTTGCATATATTATATACCTTTTTTATAGCAACAGGGGGACTGGAAATGTCCGCTATGTGAAAGCATACTCAGGTGATGGCAGGTCTGCATTATAGAAGCATCAGTTACTTAAACATACCCCTGATGTTGCCACTGTGTGCTGCAGATACAGACTAAAGACAAGTCCTCAATCTCCTGTATGCCTGGCTCCCACTAGGATTCCTGGTTGATTTCAGAACTAAGTATTCTGGATTAATTTAGAATAAAGATTAGTGAGCATGAAAGTTTTCTTTGCCAGTGTCTCTCTTCACCATCTTTCTGAAAAGAAAAAAAAAAAGGGCTAGAAAATGGAGACAAAAAATTACAGCAATGCTGTGCACTATGTATTTTGGGATGGCTTTGCAGACAATAAAATCACTCTTTCAGTTTGCATACAGGCTACACCTTATAATCCACACCAGACTAATAGCTTCTATTGCATAGCCAGTTTTGACCCATTGCTTGCCATATGTCTGACTATTAGTAGACAACTTGCTGTACACCCCAAACAGATTTGAGGGAATAGATAGGTTTCTAGCTAATGCAAGACAGTTGGCCTGAGGGGCAGAATGTAGAAATATGTATCTGTATATGGAGGGGGTATAAACTGCTAAGTTGACCAAAAGGAAGGAATGTGAGGTCCTCTAAAGTAATTTCTGCTTTTCGTAATAAACCTAGAAGTTTTCTGCTCTGAGCATTTACAGTTTCCAGAGTTTAGAATCCCAACAGCAGGCAGGTAACATGCAGCTTGGGACAGAAGTGGAACACATTGCATTAAGGTAGCTCATTCATTATGAATGCATTGGGGTGACATTCAAAACAAATGGGAACACACTGAAGCACAGATATATTGTGCCTTATGCTCATTTCAATACAAGCACCACAGCTCATGGTGTGGAGCCAGCCTAAAAGACACCCCCACATGAATAATAATATGTATATACATGCTACTAGAATGGACATACACAAGTAAATGTCTGTTGAGCAACACATTGGGTATCCCTATGCATGCCAGAGTTAGAAGAATAATCTTAACTTAGGGCCATTGTATAGGTAAAACTCAAATGTGATAAACTGTAAATGTTTTACTTATAGCTGATTTATAATTTTTGGTATATTTGTTTTGTTCTGTTTTGCAAGCACACACGATTTTGAGGCTATATTTATTAATAACTCAAAACGTTGTATAATTATTTGTAAAATTTCGAGATTAGAATGTGTCTTGTGTGCACTAAAAAAAGTGTATTTATAGTGAAAATAGAGATTTTATGAATATGACTGCAACATTTTCATTCCTCAGTAATTTTCTACTGCCCATTTTAAGCTTTTGTTTTTATCCTACCACCTGTATACTGTGTGTGTGATCGTAACCAGCTGGAAAAATTTCTGGGGAGAAAGTCCTACCCCAGAAACAGAGTAAAACGCAGAAAAAAGTGTTTTTGGCTAATAATAGTAATGGCAGGCATCTTTCAGTATCTAATCTTAGGCGATACTTTTACAAACATGTAACAGGTTAATTTTAAAATAATTGCAGCCAGTTTACTGTAGAGAAAGTAAATGCTTAATGAATACCATAGTCATTAAAACCATAGTCTGTTATTCCTGTTTTCTGAATGCTGTTTCCTTGCTTTTCCTTTCACAGAATTACCACTGGCTTGCTTCTTTTCTATGAAAAGTGATAACAGTTTAAAATATGGACTCTCTTCTCAGAATGTAAATTCACAGATGACAAATCATACACTCAGTGAAAAGGGTTCCCTTCACTGCCTCTTTGATGGGGAAACTCAGGTAAGGAAATGTAAAATGTCTCTGCTGTAGACTGATAAGACATTATAAATAACCATCCTCATGATGATGATTAGATACGCAGATGTTGAAATTTTGTTGTAATACTCGTGCTGGATCTATTCTTGCAATCATGTTATTGGAATAAAACATTTGCAGTGCTACTTGTATGATGCCTCTGTAGACCTGAAGAAAAGGAAGCTGCCTGGCCGCTTCTCTGTTTATCTTTTTGTATACTTTGGCATAGCTGATAGCACCATTACCCTCACTGTCAACAATATGCCTCCTGTTTCCACAGAGAGCTTCATTTATTGGATGTGAGTGGGTTGTGCACATTCCGGTAGTAGTTAAACCTTAGAGCCTCAATGTTGTGTTCTAGAAATAGGTGGCTTAGATTACATTTTTTTTTCTTATCTAAAAGTATGAAGTTTTCCCTATGAGTACATAATTTTAGAGGTTTATTTAAATTGTAGGAAACAGGAAATCACATCCATTTTCTTGCAATTATTTACACTTCCCATCAACTTTTAACCACACCAGTCTCTCCCCCATTATTTCAGTTTTTTCACAGCTCTAAGTGAGCAGATGATTGAATTTGGGGTGGACGTTCATTAAAAGCACAGCAGGGGCAGTTGAACCGGTCTTTATTGATTTCTATCCTTGTTTGATCAATTTGGCACTAGAAAGCAATTGGAACTGCTTGTGGCGGATTGAGTATTTGGTTTAAATACTTGCAGCGATGACTTTAATCAAAATCTGCTGGAACGATTCCTAAATTGCCACATGTATGGACAGCATTACACTTCTGGCTATAAGGGGCGTTCTTAGCATTAAATATTGCATTGTATTCGTGTGTATATAGGATTTTTGTTTCAGTAATTTATATTAAAGTTTTACAAACCAATTCTGATGTATTTGAATCTCACAAACTGTGAGAGTTTCATGTATGCAGGTTGATTTGTATTACATTTAATTAATTAATTCATATTAAAAGCACACTTCTTTCTAAGAGTGGTGCAGACAAGAGAAAGAAAAATCAACATTAAATGTGTTGATGGGGAAATAGAGTGATTTTCTTTACTTTCACCTGTGGTGGAAGGAAAGAAAATTGTATAGTCTATGGCATGCTTTAGCCTGCCCTTTCCGCCCAGTTGCTCCATAGTTCATAGGAGTAGTACAACAGCTTCTATTAATGGATGGCAATCCATTTTTCATGACGCAACCATTTCATTATTTATTCCTGTTTGTTTGCAGATAACCAAACCATACATAATATGGCTGCATTTCCATACTTAAAGTGCTACTAAATCCACAACAGTAAAATCAGTCTGTTTATGCAGTAAAGCATGCTTGTTATGCTCACTGTGGAACCTAAGGGGTTAATCCTCTGCATTGTGTAAAAAGGCTGTTCTGATCCTCCCCTTCGTCCACTGTCCCTAATCCATCTTCTGCTAGTACAGAGCTCTAGGAGACACTCTGAACATGCTCAGTTTAGTGTGTATTGCTAGAGAGTTGTTATTGTTTCTTTGGGAAGGTGCATGTGATCAGAACAGGGCCAATCGGGACTGTCCAGATAGAAGGTCAGGGGTTATGCAGCCTCATAGGAAAGTCAGAGCAGAATGAAAACACCTCCTACAAGTTTTAACCAGTACTTGGCTGGACTCTGATAGAAGTCACAAGACTGCTATATGCTGCTAAATGAGAAAAGGTATTTAGCAGTTTATATTTACTAAAATAATTGCATTTGCATGTTCTGTGTACTGTGGGAGACCAGATATAGTGAATGCAGGATCCTGGGTTTAGTAACACTTTAAAAGAAGCATACAGATATAGATCAAAAGTTTCAGTTGCTTAACCAAACGTTAAAATAAGGAATATTGATGATCAGTGTAACTTTGAGAAAGATTTTTCATGCTGGATTGGTGGTTGAATTATCTCAGAAAATGACTTTGTGAGATTTTCACACACTGGTGCAAAAATAAAGAAATTTGCAATGAGCGGCAGTTCAGTAGGCATAAAAAATATTTTATGATGAGGATGAATAGACTTTAGTAAGCTGAACTGAAGTCCACAAATGTTTTGCTAACAGTGGTGAGCAAAAAGGAATCTTTGAAAATGTCACATGCCAACATATGGCCAGTCCTGGCAGCTAAGAACCTGAAAATTGGGTTAGAGTTGGCATAGGATCACAGTTGAAAAACTTTGCCTGCTATGGTGAATTTCAGTTTCTGCTTCATCATGTAAAATGGAAGATCAGGAATTTTGCATACACCATACTCAACCATAAATTAATTCTATCCTGTGGTGGTGTAAGGCTAGGTTCACATCTCTGCATTTGCTGAAGCCCAGAAACACACCATCTATTTAACATTATTTCCTATGGGTTCCATTCTCGTCTCTGCATTGTGAAAGGTGCATGGACTTTTTTACACGTTGGTTGGAGTATTTTTGGCTCCATAGACTTCAATGGAAGCACATAAAGAAGCACATGAAAATGGTATGGTTTTGTGTTTAACAACCAGTCTCCTCCTAAAAAAAAGGCATGAAGTTTGAAAATGCCTCAAACGTGCTTGAAAACGAGTGAAAACGTGAAGCAAGAAACGCATTAAAAATGCATCAATTGCACATACACAGATATGAACCTAGCCTAATAGTGCATGGAATATTTCATGGCACACATTAAGCCTTATATTACTAATTTCCACAGTGTACCTGAATATTGATGTTAACCATTTTATGGATGTTAGATAGGAGTACCTAAAAAGGTGATCTTTATGTGTAAATCTAGTTTTCTTTTCCTACAGATTTGTTTTTTTTTACGTTTTACAATAAAAGATGTGAAATACAGAAAGGGAAAAATATAGTGGTATCATTATTCCACAATGAAACACGATCCGGTACAAAAACAGTCATAAAAACAAATATATATCTAATAGCTGTAGCGCTGAATTATAACTAGACAATACCCTTACTAGCAGAAATATCATCTAACAGGATGACTATACCTTGATGCAAATGTAGCGTTGATGGGTTGGTTGGGGAATTTTTGATCAAGGAAAAGAAAGTGAGTGGGAAAGGGGAAGGGAATGTACACCTTTTGGAGAGTTCCTGGGACATGCCTTAAGTGTCAGAGCCTGAGAAGTGAAGAAAGCTTTTGACTAAATGCCTTGTTAAGAGCCTAGTTAAGACTACATCTTAGATTATAGCAGTGTTTCTCAACTCCAGTCCTCATGGACCCCCAACAGGTCATGTTTTCAGGATTTCCCTCAGATGAAACAGCTGTGGTAATTACTAAGGCAGTGAAACTGATCAAATCACCTGTGCAAAATAATGGAAATCCTGAAAACATGACCTGTTGGGGGTCCATGAGGACTGGAGTTGAGAAACACTGGATTATAGGATGTGGATCTAAGCATTCCAGATTCTTTAGGATTGTGGCTTTTAAGCTGTCACAGAACTGGCTAGCTTTTTGCAAGCCATGAACCAGGAAAGTTGAAAATTGTTTGTGACCGCAGAGGTGAGATGGAAACAAGTATTAAAGTATCAAATTAAAGTGGGTGTAAAGGCTCAAGATTTTTTAGATTCATGTATACTATGCATGAAGGTAAAAAACCTTCTGTGTGCAGCAGTGCCCCCCAGCCCCCTCAATACTTATTTGAGCACCATCGAGATCCAGCAATGTGCACGACAGCCTCGGCTGTCTCGGGTCTCTGCATTGGCTGCCAGTCAGCCAATGAGAGTGAGGGGGCAGGGCCAAGCCACAGCTCTGTGTGTGTGACAAACAGAGCAGCGGGGGCCCCCATAGCAAGCTGCTTAGTATTGCTTTAACTTCTGTTAAGGAGACATTCATAGTGTCTCTAAATATGTAAGACTCCAATCTGAGCCATGTTTTACAATCAAAGGTAACTTCTAGATCTGCAGTCATTTATGAAAGCTGATTTCAAGCATGTATATATCTTTGAGATTACCCCCCACTTCCTTTGCCCAGCAGCCTGAAGGCACTTTTCATATAGAGTATAGAGAGTGATGTCTTTTGATGTCCTGAATGTGTGGAGAGAATGTATTAACTGACACATCATTAACAGAACAGAGGTGGGCATTTTTAGATTCTTGAGAAAAAGTTTAGGGAATATGTGCCTTTAGGGCCAATAAAATGTCCTGTTTGGGATAACCTCTGTTGGTCCACCATTTGAAAGGAAGCAGAATTAGTGCCTTTTGGGAAGGTCAGGTTAAAGTAATTGTAAAGGATTTTTAAAATAACAAATATGTTATACTTACCTGCTCTGTGCAATGCTTTTGCACAGAATGGCCCCAAACCTCTTTTTCTGGGTTCCCCACCAGCATTTTTGACTTTTCCTCTTCTCCGAGTGTCCACATAGCAAGCTACTTGCTATGGGGGCACTCATGCGGGCTCGATCCCAGGCCAGGCTGTGTGCATCTATAGACACACAAAGTGCAGCTTGGCTCCGCTCCCTCTTCACCGTCTTTGACTAACAGCAGCAGGAGCTAATGGCTCCCACTGCTGCTGAGTCTCCTGTGAGAAGAGAGAAAGAGGGGAGAAGAGCTTCTGTTGACGGGCATAGCGCTGAATCGAGATTGGGCTCCGATAAGTGTTTAAGGGGGGCTAGGGGGTGATGCTTTTGAAGGTTTTTTTCACCTTATTGCAGAGAGTGCATTAAGGTAAAAAAACTTTTACCTTTACAACCACTTTAAAACTCTTTGGATCTCTTGTTTAAGCCACCCATTAACGATACTGAGAAAGATCAGGATGTTTGCTAAAATTGCTGTGAGTAGGTCTATAGGGACAGTATAGCAGGCCGTAGCTTTTGTAGAGATCAAGTCTGAACTACAGTGCATTCATAAAGTATTCAGACCCCTTCACTTTTTTTCAATTTTGTTATGTTGCAGCCTATTACAGTTGTTTAAATTAATTTTTTTCTCATTAATCCACACTCAGTACCCCACAATGACAAAGTGAAAATAACATTTTAGAAATGTTTGCAAATGTATGAAAACGGAAGATTTTGGATATGCGTGTAAGCTGAGCAGCCTGCTGGCATTTAATGAGATTAGGGACTCCCTGCCACCCAGACAGTCTAGACATGTACAAAGTTTTCCTTATGGTTTTTGTATCCTCTTTTACCATAAATGAATTGCTTCATTCTGGATTGGAATTTCCAGAAATCATTCCTCAGAATTGTAATAATCAAGTATGTAATTTTTTTGGCAAGTGTCATCTTGAGTTAATTCTACCTAGCCAAGGTAAAGAATATTTATAGAAAAGAAAAGGAGCCATGCTCCTGTTCAGTATGCTTGTAGACATTTTGAAAGAATTTCTGGTACATGGACAGTCCACCTGGGCTTCCTCTCTCACTGACGTGTTTTGCTCAGTTAAGCTGATACAGAATGAAAGCCAAGGTAGACTGATTATGTACCAGGAATATATTAATATAGTTTAATTAATATAACTACATGAATATTTAACAGGAGTACGGCTTTTTTCTTTTCTGTATAATATTTATATGCGGCCAAGAGACAAGCTGAAAGCCAGCATCTCTGATTGAGCTGATGTGGGAATAATTATTTGGAGTGGCGCTTGACTTTTGTTTTTACAGCATAAAAGGTAGGTTAAAGTTGTAGTAAAGGTGCAAGGTTTTTTTCCTTCATGCATTCTATGCATGAAGGTAAAAAACCTTTTGTGTGTAGCAGTTCCCCCAGCCCCCTCAATACTTACCTGAGCCCCATTGCGATCCAGTGGTGTGCATGACAGCCTTGGCTGTCCTTGGTCTCTGCCTCCACATTGGCTGAGACAGCAAGCGGGAGCCATTGGCTTTCACACTGTTGTCAGTCACAGCCAGTCAGCCAATGAGGAGAGAGAGGGGGTAGGGCCAAGCCATTGCTCCATGTGGGAATGGACACACGGAGCAGCGGCTTGAGCACATGCCTGTTCGGGTGCCCCAATAGCAAGCTGCCTGCTATGAGAGCACCCAACAGAAAGGAGGAGCCATAAGCACCAGCAGGGGACCTGAGAAGAGGAGGATCCAGGCTGCTCTGTGCAAAACCACTGCACACAGCAGGTAAGTATAACATGTTTGCTATTTTCCAAAAAAAAAATTTATTAACCTTTAGTATTGCTTTAACTATCCTACAGTCCAAGGAGTAGTTTAAACAAAGGAGGGTAGCTTGGTAAAGCTGTAAGATAGAGGGGGTAAAGTTTTATACCTAGGTACAATATTCACTTAAAGCAGAATTCCGTTTGAAACTTTTATTTTCCCATGCAGTTGGGATGTACCTGCACTGCGTGGGTTAAGTGCTTGTTTTGTCCAGGGGCTCAGGAAAAATCTGTACTTACGCATTCCTCCAATCCCCTGAAAAACTGCATCCAGCGGTGGATTGTTTCTGCTGCCGTCCTCACATCCAGAACTGGTCTGTGGGCTAGATGACGTCAGGAACAGTCTATTTACAAGTCTGCTAGCATGTGGGGGGAGACAGGAGGGACGGGGAACGGTCTTAGGTAAGTGTATCTTTGCTTTCTGAACCCCTAGACAAAGATGAGCATTTAAACCATGCAGTGTGGCCACAGCCTCTCTGCATGGGAAAATAATAATTTTGTCCGGATTTCTTCTTTAAATTTATTCACCCTTGATTTTTCATTTTACTTTTCTTAATCTAATATATTTTTAAAGTCAGATGCCAAGACCTCTGTGAATTCACCCAAGAAGTCTTCTACTTCATCATCTCCTAAATATGGACATGGGAAGGTACAAAGCAGCCCTGATCACCACAGTGGAGGTGAGATAAAGTCATAGACTGTTTTAGAACAGTATTGTAGTTTGTAAAGGATGTAGCAGCAAATCCTGTATTTTTGTTTTTACTATCACTTTTTTATATAAATATTGTTGCTACTGATTTAAACTTAGTTTGGTTAGAATAAGTGTAAAATTAAATCCTCATTCAAGCACGTTCAAATGTACATTTCCTTATTTAGGCACATTTTTTAAACCACACCACCTTTGCATAGACTTGACCTTTAAAATTTAGAACACATTTTTTGCACCTGCTCCTACAAACGTTTTGTCCAGGTTTTGCCACTACTATGCTGGTGCAGATTTGCCCTACTTTTTCTAACCATATGTGGATACAATAGAAAAGAATGAAGGAAGAAGAAAGGAGTCTTGTCAATACTGATCAACAAAATATTTCAGGCTTTGTTATTGTTTTTTTCTCTGCATAAGCCTTTTGTGATAGCATTGAAGTATTTCAAATTATATGACTGTCTGTATGGGTTTCCTAAAGAAAAACATTTTTTTTTTATTCTCTTAAGGTCAAATGCATTGCCAATAATTTAGAAGGCTTGAACTTTTTCATGTTCTGATGAAACTGAGATGGAGATTTCCAGGGCACTTGCTTATACTTTTTAAACCAAGTGGCAGTTTTCTGGCAGCAGTACTGGTTACTTCCTATCTGCTGCTGAAAGTAAAATAAGTCAGCCTGAGTGCTTAATTGCCATTCAGAAGTCTTGTATTTTTATCAATGAATACAAGGTTTCTATGATTTGGCATAGATAGAAATCATGACATAATTCACCCGCATCTTGACTCCGGCCTTTCCTAAATGGTGGAGAAGCACTCAGGCAACCTCAGTTTTGTTCCGGCAGCAGATAGGAAGTTGCCTGTACGGCTGCTAGAACACAATGACACTTATTGTATGAAGCTAATGCTACTGCAGTACATTGCAGCACACACAGTGGTTGCATCAATGTGTAATGGAAATAGTTTGCTTGGGCCAGCTTGGCCCAAAGAACTATTTAAATTTTATTTCCAGCCCTTACTTAAATTTACCCAGAACCTTCTTTTTCCCCCTAGATCATGTCCCAGCCTTATGGTTTTTTTTTTTTTACTTTGTTTCTGTAGCAAGAAACAGCTTTTATTACCTCTTGTGACATTAATACCAGGCTTATAACATTCTTGCAAGGGCAGCTGTTGTACTGAATATGTTTATTTTATTTAGTCAAGACATCTAAGGTAGCTAGATGAGTCTTTTTCCTTTTTTTTTTGCTTTTGACCAGTGGGTTAAATGAAAAACATGACTCGATTTAAGGGAATACTCTCTACTGAGTCATTGTATTCTGACAGAGGGGAGGCTTCCATGCTGTTAGAATACACTGATCAGTGCTCTAGTCTGCTTCACTGATCGAGCGGGGAAAATCCGACAGGGCAGTTGTGCAGAAGTCGATTGGTATATTAACTTCTGTACAATCTCTCTGCCAAAACATGGATCAGAATTTGTCCAGTCCCTGCTGGGCCAGCTTGTGTGTGGTTACCAGTATTATAAAAAAAAAAAGATTTAATTTTCTGTTAATCATCGACAATCAGCCCTGGCTCCATGCAACTCAAACTAACATTAAATTTAGCTTCTATTGATATTGAGTTTGTAACAGGCAGCAGACTCAAGACCAGTTTTTCACCAGCCCCTTCCAGCTTGGTAATTAGATCACTACATGGAAGCATTTATTCAATTTCCACTGGTAATTGGAATATTACATGGTTAAGTCTTTTGTTTCTGCTTTTATTTATGTCAGCTGTTTTCTGTATGTCATGTACATTTGTCATTGTGGCATACTACATTCAAAAGCATATTGCAAGAGGACTACCTTGACTTTTGTTTTGAGCTATCAGATTTAGAAATTATACTGTGCCACATTCGGAATTCTGTGCATTCTACCCATTTATTAGATGATTTGATGAATAAAATTTTAGGAGCCATAACAGGCACTACAGGGGTTTACAGCTTATTGGTGAGACAAATTTGAGCATTAATGATTGGGTAGATACTGAACCATATATGGTTTCACTATAGAGGGCAAAAACAACATTCAAAAGATGTTTTGTCACATAAACATTTTATCATTGTGAAACAATGGGGTTGATTTACTAAAGGTAAATATACTGTGCACTGCAACTGCACTTCAAGTGCACTGCAAATGCAGTTGCTTTAGATCTGAGAGGAAGCTCTGAAATGAGGTGAAGCTCAGCTGATTTCTTTCATTCAATCATGTGCAAGCAAAAATGCTGTTTTCTTATTTTCCTTGCATGTTCCCCTCAGGTCTAGAGCAATTGCACCTTCAGTGCACTTGGAGTGCACAGCCTATTTGCCTTTAGTAAATCAACTCCAATGTGTCACTTTTATTTTTTTCAATTAGTCCACCTTAGGCCTGGGCCTTTAGGACCTTTCCCCGCCAGGAGAAGACAGTGAATATTGCTAGCAGCTATAGCAGCCACTAGCGATAATCATATTTAAAATCAGGCAGGCAGGCTGGTTGTACCCAAGTTGATTGGTCGATCGATCAACTTGAGTACATTCAGCCTGCCAACACATGGTTCAAGTCTCGGCTGGTTCAGCAGGAGCTGTCTGTGGCCAGCCTCACAGGACAATGCTACACAGAGACCTGCCTGTGAATGGAACATGATCCCATAGCAGCAATGATCAAGTTATAAGGCCTAAATAAAAAGTGGGAAGGCTGTACATTCCGGACAGGATATCTGATCTTCAGTGAGTGAAGGGCAGACTTAAGCATTATGACGACGGCTTAGATGATGAATTTAAGCGTGGTTATGACTTTTGTGTTGGGAATAAAACTTGGTATAAAATTGGATTTAACAGGACAGCTGCTTTGATTATTAATAATCCCTGTAGATACAGAGCAGCAGTTTGTCCTGTAGAAGTGTACTAGACATCCTCCAGTACCTGTGAGGGTTACTCAATTATATTATTGTAGGGGAATGCTGCCAATGCTGCTTAGGTCAATTCCAAACAGGTGCCTAGCTGGCAGGGTTCAGGACTGTACATATACGTAATATTTTAGCCCAGCCTAGACAAAATTAGTTGGATTAGTCAACTGCCTAATCAATTCTGTGTAACTTCATCAGAAGCTAATCTTCCCAAGAACAATGGGAAGAGCAGCAGAATGATGTGATAATATAAGATAAACAAACCAAGGCTATGGTGGTGATACAGATAAACCATGGTGTGATTAGAGTGTTTTGGAGGAGAGTCTGATAAAGGGAGAATAAACCGATTCATTTCTTATATCCGGTAAAACAGTAGGTTTTTATTCTTTGATTGTCATCACTTCCTCCAGAGCCCCCTTCACATAAAAACTCACTACATCCTAGGGATGGAACAGCACAGTCCAGAAATCATGTTTTTTACTTCCCACAAAAATATGTTTTATTACACCGATGCCCCCTCTCTAGAAACAATCAGAGTACAAAGCCAGGGATTCTTTAAACCAGTCTGTTTTTCTTGGGACTTAAACCACTGTATTTTTCTTGTTGACAACATTTAATTTTCTTCCATTAAGGTAGAGTGTTTTCTACCTGTTTTCTAATGTATGGTTGACTAGACCTTCAATTTTTGCTGGACGGGGCCCATTATTCCAGTGCTTCTCTGTCATGGTCTGGAGAACTAGGTTGATCCTCGCTGCCCTTAGTCATGTAATTTCCCCTGTTGTGCATTATTTTTCTTCTTCATATAGTTATTATTTGGGCATTGATTTCTTGCAATATTCTGTTGTCAAATGGTTTCCACAATGAATGGAGCATTCAGTGGCTGTTGCCCTCCCCTCGTTTGAATTGCTGTTGAAAATCCTGTTTTAGAATTCCAGGAATTCCTGTGTACCTCCAGTGAGCAAAAAAGAAAAGTAAATTTTTGTGCTTGCTGTGAAATTTTCTTCTTGAAGTCCATTGAGAGACATATGTGCTTATGACCCTATGCACTGCTTGCTCACAAAACTTTGACACAATTGGGTACAGGAGGGATTATACAGGGCTGTCTTACAACTTCAACCGCTTGCCAGTGTCCCAACCTCTTGTCGTTGATAGTATGACCCATCTGTTTTGGAACTCCTGAATTCCTTTGTCCCTCAGTGGACTTCAAGAAAAAGACTTCATGGTAAGTCCAAAAATTTTATTTTGAGCATTAAAGTTCTGGTGTTCGCTGCTCCCAAATAAAAAAAAACAAACTATAGTATAGCCAATTCTGTCAGTGCGCAAGAGCAACTTTCACAGAATTTCAGTTTATTTAGTCTGGGCTTCACATCTGTATTTCTGAGGCACAATAGAGGTTTCTGCACACATGGTGTCAGCTCAAAAAGGTCTCACAGTGAGCTTCCTTCCTGCAGTCACTCCAAACAATTGAACTTTTTTTTTTACAATGTTAGAAAAACAGACAGAAATTAAGGGAATGGATAGAATGAGTATGTTACAGCAAAAAGTATTTGTGCATTACTGATCTTTATCCATAGCCGAAACTTTTTTGTTTAAGATTTGGACAGAATAGGGAATAATTAAAGATCCTTTCAGTTTTTTTCTGTGTTGTTTTAAGGAGATTTGACTTTCCTTTTTTTGTACCAGGAACAAAACTATGCAAAGTAAGATTCTTTTTTATCTCCAAGCTAAAGCCAAAGCAAAATCTCATACAGCGTCGCCTGCGCAGTAATGTCCCATAGACTTGAATAGGACATACCCATACTGTTAGAATAACAACCCAATTGGGTCTACAGTGGCAAGGAAAGTATGCGAAACCCTTGGAATTTACTGGTTTTCTGCAATAATGTGCCATAAAATGTGATCTGATCCTCATCTAAGTCACAACAAAGACAAACACAATGTGCTTCACCCCTTCCTGCCTAAGTGTAAAACAAATGTGAATGCCTAAGCACAATTTTGCAACTTGGACATGTGTTAGTAAAACCATAAATATCATCACATCTACTTTGTGCATCCAGGTG